CCAGGCGCCCCCGCTTTTGCCGGGCACGTTTCAGGGCATGGGTGGCTTTCTGAGTCCAGCAGCCTGAGCTCTGAGATCGTGAACATCGATTTCCACACCTCCGGCTTCGACTGGATAGATCTGGATTGCATTCTGGCGAAGTGGTGGCCTGGCAGACCATCAGAAGGCCCTTGAACCCCAAAGCCCAAGCCACGGCTTCGCGGCTTCAAGACCCTGAGACCCATTCGTCGATGTGCATTGGGACAAGGGAACCTGGGGTGCCTGCGCGCGGGGGAGGAGCCAGCTGCCGAAATCCTAATAAATCCCTCGCGCTACCCTAACCCAAAACTCAAAACCCTAAACCCTAAACCCTAACCCCTAAAATATATCTACAGCGCCTCCCCAAGGAATATGACCAGGGACCAGTTTGTGGATGCCTGCATGCTGGCCGGGACGGAGTACTGCCTGACATTCCCCTACCTTCAGGCCTGCTCTCTGGCGCATCCTTAAACCTTTCAGACTTGTTGTCAGGGCCTACTGAGTTGCTTCTTGTCTTCCGGACCCAAACCCTGCACTAGACCTTCACAACACCGATCCGGCAAAACAACAGGTGTCACGCTTCAACTTCGACATGGAATCCCAGCTGCACAGTGTGACAACTAAGCTTTTTTTTTTGCTGGCCAGAGTGATCTGCCGTCGTTGGAAGAGGAAAAGTTTGCGAAGCACGCCTTTCATTCACGCCGGAAGCCCCAAACATCTTGGATGAATTTCTTTCGGTGGGACTCAGGGGCCCTGCGCCCTTGATACAGGAGCCCAAATCGCCCCAGATCATCCCCAAACATATCCTAGCATGCACGGCCCAACCCATGAACTAGGCCCCTGTGCTATGACCTGAACGACTACCAAGGCCATAACAGTGGCAAAGCAAGCGCCGTGCTCTGGACCTGACAGTCTGTTGCCATCCAGGGTCTTGTGCTCTTCTTTTTAGGGTTTAGGGTTTAGGGTTTAGGGTTTAGGGTTTAGGGTTTAGGGTTTAGGGTTTAGGGTTTAGGTTTTTGGCTGTTGGTCGCAGCCGATTTTGATCCTTGAGGACAAACCACAAACCCTCCAGACTCCCGTCTAGTTGCCAACCTTGCAGGAAGGGCTGACTGTTGAGCGGTTTGCAGATTGGGGCGACGACCTACTCACTTCCCCCACCTTGGGAAACCTGAGGATAACAAGAGGAACTGAGCAGAGGGGTTTACAAAGCTTACCCCGGCTTTCAGTAATTACCTACAAGCCGCCTTTAGGAGCTCCTTTTCTCCAGGCTGGTCTCCTGGATGCAGACGTTTCCGACGGAGGAGGTGAAGGCCAACAGCCCTGAAGCCCCCTCCCCCGCCACAAAGAAGCGAAAAGAAAACACTCCTACAACCCTAAACTAAAGCCTAAACCCACGCCCTAAACCCTGATTGAGCAGCGTTTTCTTTCTTTCTCTATGAAAAAGCATATAGATACGACCGCGGAGCATTTTGCCTGCAGGGCGTTGGTCTGCATCGGGTGCGCGTAGGCACGTCTATGTAGCATATGATATGGGCGCGTAGGTCTGTGTAGGTTGTAGGTGTATAAATATACTCTGCACATACCACATGTTTACGACGCATGTTTACGAAGGGGGCGGTCGGAATTACAGAGGTTCGGAAAGCGCTTGAACATTTCTGCTTTCATATAGGGAGTTCCACGGAGGCGCGGCGTAGGCTAGGTCTCAGTGCACAGGCGCCTGGGGAGAGAGCCCCACACGTAGCAGAACGCCCCAGTACCCTACTAGCCAAAACAGTTGCGTGTGGCTTTGTTTGAGGCCTGGCGGTCCGCGTAGCCGATTATCAAGCACATACTCCGCGCCTAGGTACTAAGCATGAGTTCACGCGTAGGCCCGCGTAGGACGTCAACGCAATGACAAGAGCCCACACAATGAGAAACACAATGCTCTACTTGGAGGTTCATGGTACTTATGAACCAATGAGAACTGTACTTCTTCCCCTTACGTGCCGTCTAGCATGGTTACAAGTCTCCTCGCCTGTGCGGATCTTCTGGCAGGCTGACCATCTCGAGGGCTACTGCGTCTGTGACCTGGCAGCTCCTTTTTAAGGGCTCAGGGTCGGGCGCTCTGCGCTGATGCTCCCCTTTTTGAGGTACCCTTTCAGGCGTGTTCCATTTTTGGGCATCCTCTATGCTTGGTCCCTTTTTGGGCAGCTTTATACTTGGCCCCCTTTCTGGGCACCACTTCCTGATGTTCCCCTTCTTGGGTACCCGTTAGTTGGGTGTGTTTTTGCGGGGGGTGTTGGCCGCAGCTGCGCGACGCGTCCGCTGCGCAAGGCAAGCTGCTGATTCAGCATTCCCCGGTCTACCACATGCACGAAAATGTAGCGCCTTGCCAGCAGTGTATTGTTCATCTCACCCAGCGGGATCTGATACCTTAGGTGAAGCGACCCCTTATCGCATCCAGGCAAAGGGACCCTCGGAACAGCCCTCACATGGTTCTGTGGCAGGTGCGACCTTCAGGCTCTGGCAACGTACAAGTGCCCAGCGATTATTCTATGGTCCTTGGAGACCCGCTGCCACGCAGCCTGCCCTTCGGCTCCATTGTGGCAGGACAGGGAAGGTTTGCCTTCACATGTTTAGGGTTTAGCACGCATGTGCTCGCGCTCTGATTTGCGCGTTTTGAGCGCAAGAGACTCTTGGTGCTCGAATTGTTCAACTGCTCAATTCCCCCACCCTCGCTAATTCTGTAGTACTCGAATTGCCTAGTTCCCAAGCCCCCGCAAATACCGTACCGTGGTTCTCGAACTGCCCAATCCCCAACCCCCGAACAAGCTCGTGGCGTGGGAGAGTTCCGCTTGGACGGATGCTTCCAGTTCCCGAACTTGGACATCGCATCGTGTACATGACAGCTCTGTAAACATACACTCACGTGGGGTTACTTGACCCTTTAATTTCAGGACAGCCTTCACAAGAGCATCCTTGACTCCCATGGCAGGTACTTTTTGATTTTCAGTGGCATCCTGTCGGCTAAGCTACCCCAGGCGGGGGTGCCGCTGATTTTTGTAAGTTTCTCTGCCATCCTGAGGGTTTACAAAAATGAAGGGACCCCTAATCCTTTACCCCCACATGGTAGGATCCACTTATTTTCAAGGGCCAATAAGGTGCCCCCAATATCGTAAACCCTCCGAAGAGGCCCTGGCGAAGGGCGAATGGTTGGACAAGTCGCAGCCCTTGGTGGACACGGTGGAGCCTGGCCGTAATGCTGGGCCGACCGTCACATTCCCGACTTGTCTTGAGTGCACTCTACACTGTATGCAAGTGCCCCTGTCTCAGCTGAGGAGTATCGGCAGCTGCTTTCAGATGCTGGGGCTGGCTTTGTAGCTGTTTCTCCAATCCTTTATGTCACAGTCACACGGATCTCTCATCTCCTTCTTTGATTGTCATTGCTTCTTTCTTAGTTTGGTTTGCTGCGATAGCAAGGACTTGACGGACTATCGTCAGCGGGCGCTGGGGTTGATCGCACGCCACCTCCCCCCACACTTCCAAAACAAACGCCGCTGGGCGACTTCTTGGAAGGCTTTGTGCGTCTTGCACTCTGCACAGCATTCTGAAACGCCCCCCCCCCCCCCCCCCCACACACACCCGAGGCATAATCTGCAAAGCCTTTTGGGAGAATCTCCAAAATCGGCGCAGCAGTGATCCTGGCTGGGCAAGGCTATCGTCCCTACTCATACTGCCAGTTGAAGTTGACATGGGAGTTTACGAAGGGACTCCTTAATGTAGGGCCCCCAATAGTAGGAGATGCCCGTACAGTAAGGACCCCAATAGGGTACCCCTAATGTCGGAACCCCCCACATGGTACTGGTCGTTGTTACAGTGGCTGCAGGGCTCGCATTGCGCTACCTTGGCCACAGCACTGTCCTGTCAACTCGCACTTTCCCTGTCCTGTGCACTCCACTGCTGCGGCAGGCGGTATTTAAAACCCGAGCAGCTGTCGAATGCACCTTGGCATGCTGGAAGCGGAGGTAGCAGGTCAGAGACCAGAAGAGAGTCTCAGGCTTTAAAAATCATAAGTACCAGCATAGGAAAAATAATGACAGTCAAAGTCATAACACTAATCACAATAACAATCAGAATACCAAGAATAGTCCTGACTGATATTAATAAAACACAAGGACAAGAACAACAGTATCCCCCCCCTCCCCCCCCCCCTATAGACTATATAGTACCTATAATGGCGGGCATCGAATATTGGGGTCTAGGGGGGTTTACTATTCGGGGGAGGGGAGCCATTTCCTTCCATCAGGACTCGATACGCTGGCACATCAACTCCAGGAACATCGCCCGGGAGATGCACCGGCAAGGCACCAAGAAGGCCGCGCTGCGACTCCGTGGTGGGGCCCAGAACCAACCCTTTAAAAGCCAAAGCCTTAAGCCCTAAACCCTAAACCCTAAACCCTAAACCCTAAACCCTAAACCTTAAACCTTAAACCCTAAACCCTAAACCCTCCTGAACTTGAGCGAGTTCAAGAAACTGCAAATAGAGCGGGGTTTCTGGAAAGCCACGCACAACCCTTAAACCCCCCCCCCCCCCAAAAAAAAAACCGAAAACCCTGCACCCCCTGACGCTCAGACTCGACCCCGCGCTTTCAGGTCAACTTCAAATTCTGCCTCGAATCTGCGCTTGGCCCCCCCCCCCCCCCCCCCCCCCCCCCCCCCCATTATGATCATGCATGGTCATTAGGATCATGCACGACCGCTGTGTGGTGTTGCAACTTTCTCAGATCGGGGACATAGTTCTTCTTTCCCAACTACCCCAAAAAAGGGGAAGCACTGGGATAGGGTTCTGGTGTTCCTTTGCAGATCGCTGCAATGCTAGTGCATTCATCAGGAGAAGCCCTGACCAGAAGTAGTCTTGGCATGCTGGTGACGTGAGAATCAAACAGATGCCGTCCTTTGTGTGCGTCTGCGTGTGAAACCGAGGCATGGCATGCGAGGGAGTGTGGAAATGGTGGTCCGTTGATCAAGGACCTCACCAGGCAAATTCCGGAGCATGAGAAGGGCGATGACACCAAGGCCGGGGCATTCAGATGGCTACATGCCACACATGGGTCCTTATAAGGTTCCCGCCTTATATAGGGGCCCAAAAGACGGAACCCTAATTTTGGAGAATGGTCCACAGGGCCGCATCGAGCACAGGCAGTGTCGGCCATTGTTCACTTCATGCTCCTGGAGCACTTGGGTTTAATCGCTGATGACGGTGGCATGACGGCCCGGATCTCAGCTGCATGCTGTTGCAGAGACAACCCCAGACTGACCACCACATACGCCACAAAGATGTAGCTTCGGCGGCGGTTTAGGGTTTAGGGTTTGGGGTTTGGGGTTTTGGGTTTAGGGTTTAGGGTTTAGGGTTTAGGCCGGCTGTGAACTGGGCTTTTTTGGGGCAGCTCTGAGCCAGGTGCTGGGAGATGTTTTAAAAGACTCCCCCAGCAACCTCCAGGACCCTGCAAGGGCAGAGACAATGCACGCGAAACCCTCGAGACCACGACCAGGGCCCGTGCATCTCGGGGGTGTAAGTATAGCTTGCTGTTCATTCTTGGCCGAAGTATCAGCATGAATTTTGGTGGTTTCTTGAATTGTTCCAGACTTGCAGAAACATCGCACAGCGCAGCCCCCACACATGGCGCTGACTGCCGGAAGCTGCCAGAGATCATCGTAGACAGCCCTCACGGCCCTGTTATTTCTTGCGCCTAAATCCTAAAGCTTCAAGTTCATACACTCGCAAACCCTACAGTGCCAGCAGAAGGCGCCCTAAACTCCAAGCTTAAAGCTCCTTTGTTTTGGGCAGGTCCTCCAAATTAGGGTCCTCGCTGTTGTCTGTTGGGTACTGTACATCTAAGACCCCCCCTCCTTCGCATTCTCATAGGCATCCTAAAGGGAAACCCACAAGCCAAAACCATTCAACCCTTCAACCCTTCAACCCTTCAACCCTTCAACCCTTCAACCCTTCAACCCTTCAACCCTTCAACCCTTCAAGCCTTCAACCCTTCCATGCCTTCCATTCCAGGCCTTCCAACCCTTCCAACCCTTCAATCCGAACCCTAAACCTTGCGAAGGAGCCTTGCCTAGTGGCTCTGGAATTAATGAAGTTTGGCCTCCTCAGTGGGGACCCGTACCTACCATCGCAAGAAGACAATGTCTCGACCGGTTTAGGGTCTTGAGAATTCTTAGCGTTTGCGGTTCTTGGGAGTTAGGGGGTTCGCGGGGTTCGGGGGGTCGTGAGGTTCGTGGGTTCGTGGGGCGCTGCGAGACAAACTCACAGAAACCCAGAACCTTTGCTGAACCCAAAAGCGTTCTCTGCAGAATTGGGCCTTCTGGGCCGCCCATGAAACAGGCGAGGCAAGCTGGCATGCCCGGGTTCACTTTAGCTTGCGGGTTCCGTCAGAGCTTCAGGGTTTAGGATTTGGGGTTCAGGGTTCAGGGTTTAGAGTTTACAGTTTAGGGTTTAGGGTCTGAGCCTACTTGCAGCTTGCTTGAGTTCCGGGCGACGCTGCGGATTGGTGCGGGCCACGTAGCTGTGCTCCGTGCCAGCGAGCTTTGACGTGATCACGTTTTTTGGACCTTAAAGCCATGCCCCCGCAAACCCCCAAATCCCTGAAGCCTTGAAACCCCTAAGCCCCGAACCCCTTTCCCCAAAACCCTAAACTTCCAATACCTTAAACTCTGAGCCCTTAACTCCAAGCAAGCCCCCCTGAATCCCAAACAAGGCATAAACAACAACAACCCCAATTCCCAAACCCCAAATTCTACCCTAAACCCTAAACCCTTAACCCTAAACCCTAAACCCCGTAAACCCTAAACCCGAAACCCTGAGACGGGGCAACCCAGGTTCGAGGCAGCCGAGCGCCCTTTCCCGGAGCAGGTTTCTGTTTGATTTATGTCGTCGGGTTAGGGTTTAGGGCTTAGGGCTTGGGGCTTAGGGCTTAGGGCTTAGGGCTTGGGGCTTGGGGCTTAGGGCTTAGGGCTTAGGGCTTAGGGTTAGGGCTTAAGGTTTAGGGTTTAGGGTTTAGGGTTTAGGGTTTAGGGTTTAGGGTTTAGGGTTTAGGGTTTAGGGTTTAGGGTTTAGGGTTTGTTGGGATTCAGGGTGCGCGTCATGGAGGTTGAGAGGGTTCAGGGTGATTCGTATGGGGTGCGTGTGAATATGACTTTGCAAAACTTGACTATGTCTGTGGTCATGCTGATCTTTCACATCCGAAGCATCTTGCCTGCAGCAGGTGGGCTATCCCAGGCAGTGCGTGGATAGCGCCACAAAGTCAATCCTGCTTTTGTCTCGCGCCATGTCCTTGGCCGCCAGGTGGCAAGACACATGAGTACCCTGAATTAGGGTCCCTTTTTTTGTGGCCTATATATGGCACGGCACCTTAAAAGAAGAACCTCAAAAAAGGTACCCTGGTCTAGAGAACTACCCACATGCACAGGTTAAGGGTTCAGTGCTTAAGGTGCAAGCCCAGGGTCTCGTATCGCTATCTGCGCCGTACGCAGGCGACAGAACTAGAAAGTGGCCTTAGGGTTTAGGGTTTAGGGTTTAGGGTCTAGGGTCTAGGGTCTAGGGTTTAGGGTTTAGGGTTTAGGGTTTAGGGGCCATGGTTATCTTGATGCTCTTCCTAGCTAGCATGGTTTCTCGCTCTCGTTGCAGGCATCGTCAGCAGCACGACTATCCTTCAGTTCTTACTGTTGCGTAGTTGAAGCTGGCTAGCCATGGTTATCTTGACCATTAATTAACCCTAAACCCTAAACCCTAAACCCTAAACGCTAAACCCTAAACCCCAAACCCAAAAACCCTAAACCCTAAGAGCTGCCGGGCCAAGGTACCGATGAAGCTAAGGAGCGGCATGTGGAATGCGGATGTGGACTTCGACCTCGCAGCCTTCCACTCCCTCGTGCGTTTAGCACACTGGCCTAAATCCCAAGCTCGGAGTGTCATGACAAGTTCACCCTGGGTTTTGCAGGGAATGAGGGAATAAGGTACCCTACATAATCCCTTAAAGGGTATATATGTATATATATATATGTATATAGGGTACCTCATTCCCTCATCCCCTACTAAGAACCAGGGAGCAAGTGCATATCTACAGCTGATGCAGACTTTTGCCAACATCTCTTGGGGTCACGCACCGTCGCATTGCCGTTTGTGCTGCGGAAGTCTTGAGGTTAAGAGAGCCTTGCGGCACTTGGCCGAAGCCTCTCTCGTGTCGGTACTGCTGAAGAACCTACACCGCGTCAACCTGCTTCCCGACGGCGGCTTGACGCATCATTGGCTTCGAAGCCCCTGAAGGGAAGCCAGAACATGCATAGGCATAGGTCTGACACTCCGGCCGGAAAGTGTGGAGCATGAGCATCTACGGCAGTGACCTCCGGTCGGAAGGCTTGCTGTGTGCAGCAGCCCCGAGTGATGATAGCGAGGGCTTTGGCGTGATGCCGCAGCTTGTCAGCAAAGTGGAAGTCGGGCTTACGGTAGCCTAATCCGTGGAGCATGTCGTCTTGTGACTTAAACAGCAAAAGAAATAGCAGAGTCCTCTAATTGGTGGCGTGATGTGCCGGCAAGGACCTTCATGCTACCCCGGGCGTGCATGGGCATTGTGCACCCTGGATGCAGCTATCTAGTAGAACGAAGGAGGACGGCAACACCACAGTGTGTCAACGAAGCATGGACCCCTAAACCGACATGTGAGGTGCCTCTTCTTCTTAAAGTACAGGGGTAACTTCAAGAGCTTCTCCCGGGAGCTCTTGGCCAAGTTCCCGTGCTGTGTCCAACCTCTCGAGGCTGGGTCAGCTGGCCCACTCGTTTCGGTTTAGGGTTTGGGGTTTGGGGTTTGGGTTTTGGGCTTTGGGGTTTGGGCTTTGGGGTGTAGGGTTTGGAGTTCAGGGCTTGGGGTTTAGGTTTTCGGGGAGGTTGGTAGGTCTTAGCTTGTAGGGCCGGGTCGTCTATAGGGGCGGGCATGCGACATTCACCCCCGTTCACTTCATGCAAGAATTCGGCCCTCAACCCTCAACGCTCAACCCTCAACCCTCAACCCTAAACGCTAAACCTTAAACCCTAAACCCTAAACCCTAAACCCCAAACCCCAAACCCCAAACCCTAAACCCTAAACCCTAAACCCTAAACCCTAAACCCTAAACCCTAAACCCTAAACCCTAAACCCTAAACCCTAAACCCTAAACCCTAAACCCTAAACCCTAAACCCTAAACCCTAAACCCTAAACCCTAAACCCTAAACCCTAAACCCTAAACCCTAAACCCTAAACCCTAAACCCCCTAAACCCTAAACCCTAAACCCTAAACCCTAAACCCTAAACCCTAAACCCTAATAAACCCTAAACCCTAAACCCTAAACCCTAAACCCTAAACCCTAAACCCTAAACCCTAACCCTAAACCCTAAACCCTAAACCCTAAACCCTAAACCCTAAACCCTAAACCCTAAACCCTAAACCCAAAAGATTACTCAACTCTCGGTCTGCATCCTCAACTCTACAAAGCCCTCCTCTCGACCGGTGCAGGACCTTTCTACAGCGTTCCGCTTTTGGGAGGAGAAGCAAAGGGGTTTGGGGTTTAGGGTTTAGGGTTTAGGGTTTAGGGTTTAGGGTTTAGGGTTAGGGTTTAGGGTTTAGGGTTGAGGGTTGAGGGTTGAGGGTTTAGGGTTTAGGGTTTAGGGTTTAGGGGTCCTGTCGCTCTTTTTTTTGGTAGTTCATATGTACAAGTTTTCGGCGCCGCTCGAACACAACCGGGCCTGTGCCTTATCATGTCGGAAGGCTATGCATCATCAATTGAAACAACCGGCCATTGAAGTGTTCGTCAGAGAGTTATAGCAACACATAGAAATGCAAAATGTCACTGCTCAAAGGCGTTTTGAACACATCAAGGCTTAAAAGCGGGAACTCCGCCGCTGCGTCTTGAGGGGTGTTCGTCTAGAACGCCAAAACTCGTTTTTAGTGCATCGGTTGTCCAAGTAGTTGTCCTGTATTCTCTCTTGCGGCCATTTAGCAAAATAGTATAGCTTGGTCTGCTATTTCGTGAAGAACCGAATGTAATTAGCAGTCTAAATCAACTACATTTTTAGCAAGAAAATATCGGCATCATGGCTTGTATCTGATTGCATATCATAAATGTAGCTGGTTTGCAATTTACGAACTTAATCTTAATCCGTTCTCATGGAATTCAGTACTTCAATGTTTGGGTCCCGGCCACTCCCGGAACCAAGATTGTCAAGCTTCTCCTGAGGGCATCTTGGTTTTCCCTTTTGGGTTGGTTCCGACTGTTTTTCAGGCCTTTTTCACGTGCCTCGCTCGCTGTGCGAACACTGATGTTTAATCATCTTTCAAGTGGCTCGCGCGCTGTACGAACACTGTTGTCGAGTTATCTTGCAAGTGGCTCGCGCGCTGTGCGAACACTGTTGTTTAGTCATCTTTCAAGCAGCCCGATCGCTGTGGGAACACTTTTAATGGTTCGCTCGTTGCGCGAATGCATGTGCAACTGGATGTTGTTGATGATGATGATGATGAAGATGATGATGTTGATGATGTTGGTGATGTTGATGATGCTGATGATGCTGATGATGCTGATGATGCTGATGATGCTGATGATGCTGGTGGTGTGCTGATGATCAGGGTGCTGATGATCAGGGTGCCGATGATGATGATGATGGTGATGATGATGTTGACAATGATGTTGTTGTTGACGACGACGATGATGATGATAATGATGATGGTGATCATGTGATGTCGATGACGATGACGATGTTGCAGATGCTGATGAATATGATGTTAATGAAGATGATGTTGAAGAAGGAGACGATGATGATGATGGTGATGCTGACGTTGGTGATAGTGATGATGGTGATGTTGTTGTTGTTGATGATGATGATGATGATGATGATGATGATGATTTTGTTAATGCTGTTGATGATGATGCTGATTTTGTCGATGATGATGATGATGACGACGTTGTTGATGATGCTGATGATGATGATGATGATGATGATGATGATGTTGATGCCGTTGATGTTGATGGTGATGTTGATGATAATGATGCTTTTGAGGATGGTGTTGTTGAAGATGATGATGTTGCTGATGTTGTTGATGATGATGTGGTTGTTGTTGATGCCGATGATGCTGGTGTTGAGGATGCTGATGATGAGGATGATGATGTTAATGATGATGTTGTTGTTGGTGATGATGATGCTGATGTTGATGATTATGATGATGTTGTTGATCGACACTCACCAATCATGCTTGGGCCTCTTAAACCCTAAACCCTAAACCCTATGCCTAAGAACTTGGAACAGCCCTCAAATGGAGAGACGGCTTGGGGAGGACCTGAAGCGATGCGTCCAGGACTCAGATGGGTCAAGGGTCTGATCTGTTGCCAGGGATTTAAGACGTGGGGGTTCAGGGGACCCCCCCAATATAGATCCCCAAATAGTAGGAGCCCTTTACAATAAGGGAGCCCCAAGCCCCAAACCATAAGATGATAAACTCATGTGGTCACTTCTCTCAAACATGGTCCCTTTTGAGGCATTCAGGATTTAAGGTTTGGAAGGTCGGGGCTTCCGAAACTCAGGGTCTCTGTTTTGGTTCCTTTTTTTCGGGAGATTCTGCTATGCCTGTGGGTACAAAAGGGGCCGAATATTGGAAGCTCCCAGCTATTGCTCATGCTCAGGTCAATGTTTGTGGGGTCTGTGGGGTTTGTGCCATAGCAAACTGAGTTACCCTATGCCCCTTCGAACCCAGGCGCCCAAAGCCAAAGCCCCACCCGTAAGCCCAAGCCAGTTGCTCCAGGTTGCTTCAGTTCTCTACATTATGGTCCCTCTTTTGGGTACCTTGTAAATAATATCCCTAGACCCCAAACCCGAAAGTGAGTGCAGGGGTCGCATCCGTCGAGCAAGAGACAGCCCCAGCGCTGAAACCCGAGCGCCCATGCAGCAAACGGAGAGATGAGGCTCAAGCCGGCTACCCTCTGCCTGAACTGAAATTTGACTTGAACAACAACCGCACCGGCGCATGAAGAAGCTCAATTTCATAAACCCTAGACGCCGCTTTGGACTAGAATGTGGGCTGCAGCACACAGACCAACCCCCTCGCAAAGCCTGGGCGGCAACACGCAACTTCAAACCCGAGCGTGCGCCCTCGCATGACCCACTTTGAGTCCTCAACCCGAGATTCTTCAACAGACCCCGCCACGAGTGTTTAGGGTTTAGGGTTTGGGGTTTAGGGTTTAGGGTTTAGGGTTTGGGGTTTAGGGTTTAGGGTTTAGGTGGCCCAGGTTTTTGCCATTGCGGAGCCCCTGGGTGCCCAGGAGCTGGCTCAGGACATGGAGGCCCCAACGTCTGGTTTGGTAATTTGGGGTGTAGGTTTAGGGTTTAGGGTTTAGGGTTTAGGGTTTAGGGTTTAGGGTTTAGGGTTTAGGGTTTAGGGTTTAGGGTTTAGGGTTTAGGGTTTAGGGTTTAGGGTTTAGGGTTTAGGGTTTAGGGTGTAGGGTGTAGGGTGTAGGGTGTAGGGTTTAGGGTGTAGGGTGTAGGGTGTAGGGTGTAGGGTGTAGGGTGTAGGGTGTAGGGTGTAGGGTGTAGGGTGTAGGGTGTAGGGTGTAGGGTTGCGGTAGGGCCTTAGGGCTTAAGGTTTGGGGTTTTGGGGTTGTTTGGGCTTAGAGAGTTTGGGGCTTGTATACTTCCGATGGGGTTTAGGGTTTTTTCTGTAGACTACACCCTGCACCTGCGGGTTCTTGGTCAAGGCCCTTGAATCCTAAACTAGCCCCTACAGGAGCGGCCCATGTCGTTAAAGAACAAGGTTGACAACAGCCCTGGCTCCCGCAATCATATTTTTGCGGCAATTTTCGGGCAAGTCCCTAAATTAGGCGCCCTTTTTGCGGATAGCTGTTCTAGTGCAGGCCCGTATACTCAGGGGACCCCCTCTTCTTCCCCCGCCTCTCGGAATGCTTCCTTGACAGAGTTTGGATCCTTGACTCCCGCTGCTATAACGTTGCGCCAAATCACACTTGAAGTTCGACTTTTCCCAGAATAAGCCCGAAAGAATGTGACGGTTATTGTGGGAAAAGTGCCCTGGACCCCTGGACAGTGTTGGTCAAGGCGGCTGCTTGTTGTTTAAGCCTTCAGCGCCTTGCCCTGATCAGCTGCATCTCCCAGCATTCTCATGAAGAGAGCCTAATTGAAACTGCGGCTTATGGCAATAGCGTAATTTTCTTGAACAAGAAGCTGGTCACAAAACCCTGTTCCGCTGTGGACAGACTCATGCACCCTGGTTTGACAGACACATCTGAGCAATTTGCGGAGTCTGAGCCTTGTCACGATCGGATCTGGGGGTACCCATTCCTGGAGATACAGGCCTCGCCGGATTAAGTGGTGGCAGATGGCATGTATCTGCAGGTTCCTACCATCAACTCCACAGCCTCATAAACCCAAAGCTTGACGAAACTCTTAACACAGTCCTACACCTGGATGCCCTTAGTGTGGGGTGTGGGGAATCGGCTCTTTGTTGCCAAGCCTCTTCGTGCCATGACGCAGGACGCAAGCAAGCTCTTGGCTCGCAGGCGACAAGAGCTGGGTTTGCTCTGAGCCGATAGGCACAGAGAGCAGATTCGGAGCACATGTCAAGCCGAAATGGACGGTTCTGCTGTGGGTGCCGGTATTGTGCAGATCAACTCTGGCTGATCACCTCGGGGGCCTTTGCTTCAGCAACTCTCAGAAGACATCTTTGCACATTCCGATCGGACAGTGCCCCCGTGTTGCTGCTAAAACAGCAGGTTTAATCGCTCTGCCGTGGAAGGTAAACTAGACCGGCGTATCATGCCAGGCTTGAGAAAAAAGCGGGGGGTGAACACGAGCACGAACCCGACTCCTAGATGGTGCCTCCTGATGCCTTCCACTCGATGATGATTTTTTCAGTTGACATTCACGCTCACTGTCACAGTCGGCCTCCATGGCCAGTGCGGCCATGGCCAGTGTGTCGTTGATTCTCCGCTGCCAGTCGTGGCATGCTGGTGCGTGCCCTTATGCGGGAAGCGCATCGGCGCGCATCGGCCGGATTGTTTGCAGTCTCACAAATACCTACGCGATGAGTGCCTTGAGGCCACAAAAAGTGCTGGTACCAGTCTTGCTTGCTTTTCCGTCGCGAGATTGAAGTTGCCTGAACTTAGCTGCAGGGCCCATGGTCATGGATGGAGTTTCGCATAAACCCAGCCCTTCCCCTGCAATGACCATCCGAGGTTTCGCTCTTCAAGTCGATGAACCATCACAGCCGCGCCCCCAAGAGAACTTGCCCCAGGTTAAGGGGTTTAGGGTTTAGGGTTTAGGGTTTAGAGTTTAGGGTTTAGGGAGCCTTAAACTGTATAAAGCTGAGATCAGTGCCGCGGCCCATGCTCAAGTCCTGAATGTATCCATGCGCATTCTGCCCGTCCCGGTATCTTTTGGCTGCACGCTGTCTCAAACGTCTCGTCTGCCGAAGGTGCTTATGCAGCTCCGAACGTTCGGAAGATACCGTGGCCATTTGACCTAGACTGCTACGCTGAGCTCTGCTGCACAAGTGCGCTCTGCCTGGTCCTGCAGCCTTGAGCAGCAGAGCAGCAGAGAACCCGAAATACAAATCTCATCCTGGGGCAACCAGGTTGCAAGTAGAAGAGGACTGCGCGGAAAACACCCCCCGTTTCCCGAGGGTAAGACCGAGGGTAATAGTCTGGAAGCGCATGCTCCGAATCTAGTCAGGTACAATTTGCAGTCCTGCAAGTGGGGATGCCCGCTCGAGCAATCGGAGGCTAGACTCCGACACTCCGTGACATCTGAGGGCGCCCACAAACAGAACCTCCACCCAACCAAGCTCGTCGCAATGGTGAACAGCATGCACTGTGCCTACGGATCCTCTTCGGAAAGAGCAACCTGAGAACGTCTCGATGTCTGTTTCCAGACACACAAGGTCACCGTAATCAAGCTCATCGATTTGGCTCTGCTCGTTTTGCGTGCCCCTCGCGTCCCCAAGCTCGTCATCAGAGGACCCGATATAGAAACGACATAGCTCGCGATCGGGAGATCGCCAGAGCAACAAACCACGCTCCAGGTCATCTGCAGCCGCAAGCAAACCAGCGGTCCAAGAATCTAGGATTTGTCCCAGTCCGTCAACATGCTGTGGAACAAGGGCAAACAAATTGAAGGCTGTGTCGTCTGCCGTTGCCCGCTCTACAATGTCTTTCAACTTGCTCGTATCATCCCTGATGGCCATGAGCCGCGACTCAAACATCATCTCCACACACCGAAGCTCAGCAAAGCTACATTCACATCGCTCATACCCAGCGTCAACAAGGCCGTCATCTCCATCAATGGGCATTTCCTCCAGCCTAGCAGCAGTCGGTATGAGCTCAACAAGGCTCTTAACCTGTATAAAGCTGAGATCAGTGCCGCGGCCCATGCTCAAGTCCTGAATGTATCCATGCGCATTCTGCCCGTCCCGGTATCTTTTGGCTGCACGCTGTCTCAAACGTCTCGTCTGCCGAAGGTGCTTATGCAGCTCCGAACGTTCGGAAGATACCGTGGCCATTTGACCTAGACTGCTACGCTGAGCTCTGCTGCACAAGTGCGCTCTGCCTGGTCCTGCAGCCTTGAGCAGCAGAGCAGCAGAGAACCCGAAATACAAATCTCATCCTGGGGCAACCAGGTTGCAAGTAGAAGAGGACTGCGCGGAAAACATAAACCTTTAAGCCCAAAGTTTTTGCCTTGGATTGCCAGTTTAACCTTGTTGGGCACGTCATGTTGGACGCATTCGTACGGGACTCACACCTCCTGAGAGCTCTTTTGAGGGCACAAGGGGTTCCCACAGCAAGCCCATCAAGGTGGATCTCGGCGGGCCATTGGCTATCACAAGACCGGGGGCGGTTGAGTCTATTTGCATGATGCTCTGAACCCTAAACCCTGAACCCTGAACCCTGAACCCTGAACCCTGAACCCTGAACCCTGAACCCTGAACCCTACTACACCCTACACCCTACACCCTAAACCCCAAGCCCTATGCCCTGAGCCCTAAACGTGATTTCCCAAAGCCTAAACTCTAAACCCAAATCGGCATGTTTGCCAAAAACATGGGCGCCCAACCAGGGCTGCATGATTTCGATCCATTTGTTGAGGGCCTCCTTGGACTCCGGACTTACGGAAAGCGGATTTAGGGTTTAGGGTTTAGGGTTCAGGGTTTAGTGGCGGCTGGGGGGTGTAGGGTTTTCGCGGCCCGAAGCCCTAAACCCTAAACCCTAAACCTAAACCCTAAACCCTAAACCCTAAACCCTAAACCCTAAACCCTAAACCCCAAACCCCAAACCTCGAAGCCACGGACGAGGCCCAGACACCTTGTTCCTGAGCCCCTTCGTGGGGAACTGCCAGGACCCTGCGGGTGGCAATAAGGGTTGAGGGCGTACTTTGAAGAGTGTGGGGCTCAGACTATACTTATCTTGCGCTATGGTTTTTCTCCTGATTGTTATTCTTGGTTTTAAATAGTCATGGTTATCATCATTAGAACGATTTGACGCTGGACTTAAGGTGAAGAATCCTCACGATGATGAGTTTTCTGCAGGTCCATGCTCGCCAGCTTCCATGCCCCTCAGTAGCAGTTCCGTCGATGCGCGGAAGGTGGTCTGGGTCGCAGGTAAGCCTTAAGCCCTTGTGTTTGGCCAGATCATCGACCGCCTCATGCGAACTGGCACGATCAAGCCCAAGGCGTGGCTGGGGGGGGGGGGAGTGGCGATGGTTTGGGGCCTGTAGGGCTTCCTTCGGCTGCTTTGGGGGGTGCAGGGCCGGTAGGCTTGTGAGGTGTTAGGGTTTAGGGCCAAGTTTCGAGGCCTTTGGGTGCAGGGCTTTGTGGGGCTGTAGGGAGCTTGGGTGCTCGAATCCTGTATGGCCCGTATGGTATCTTCGGGGTTTAGGGTCGCACGCCTCAGCCGCCCGCCAGATCCTCTACTTGCCGATCAACCCCCTGGCCTGAAGCTCGGCCTTTGCCGGGGGTGTTAGGGCTTTGGGACCTTGAGTACAAGGGCTTGGGGCTTTGTAGGGTTTAGGGCTTTGAAACCCTGGGAAAAATGGTTTAGGGATTACGGGTCGTTTTGCGTGCCGTCCTGTGGTTTTGGGTTTTGGGTTTAGGGTTTCGGGTTTAGGGTGCCCATGAAGGTGTGCTACCCCCAAAGCCTGGCAGAAGCTGAGGGAGCGCTTGGAGCAGCCGGCAGCAAGGCCCTAGGTACCTTAACCCCTAGCTCCCCCCCCACCCCCGCTTACCCAGTGTAGGGTTTGGAGGCAGTGGCTGCTGAAAGCAGCTGCTGAAGGTTCCCGTTGCAAGCAGGGCGCTCGACAGGAATGAAGAACCCCGAACACCCTCCTTCTTGGGCCTTCTGACCCTAGGTCCCAAACCCTACTTCCCAAACTCCCTGGGCTCTACATGTCTGCGTTGGGGGCCTGAGAGGGCTCGACAGCCTGAAACTGGCCCCCAGGTGCCACCAGGGCATCGTGTTACGTCCAAGCCCCAGGAGAAGCGGAGTTGGCTTAGGCTTCTGACATGAATATAGTAATAGGTTGCTACCATTCATATATTTTTTATGCGAAATATAGCATATTAATACATGATATTCATACTCTTTTTATATGCATGGAGTCTTATATGACGATTCTATAGTATTTCGACAGTCGTATAGGAGTATGTTATTATGCTACTACATGATTGTGAAGGCTTCTGGGGCTTCTGGGTGTTTTTGGCCAGCTTCCTGAAACCCGTCAACCCTGAACCCAGCTTACCTGGAATCCGGCTGCCCCAAACATAGGGCTTCGGGTTTAGGGTTTAGGGTTTAGGGGAGGTTCATGGAGCTCGTGATGGATCAATCGCTTTTTGTGCCCTCTCTTCATGGATCCAGGGCCCCAATGGTAAAGAGGCCATGCCTCGCTTACGCCTTGTTCTCGTGACCTACGAGTTTACCTACAGCCCTTTTAGTGGCAATGGCATCCTGGCTCGGTCCATTGCCAAGGCGCTGCTGAAACTGGGCTGCCAGATCACGGTGCTGTGTTGCCGGCCCTGTGATGAACTTCAGAGTCACAACAGCCATCTGACTGCGGAAGAGTTGTCGCAGGAGGCTGCTAACAGCCTCACGGTCATCCCGCTTCAGCTTGCCAAGAGCGACGGCTGGTTCAAGTTGGATGACAACTCTGCCTGGAAGCGCTTCGTGTTCGACCACATTGACACCGAGGGCCAACGTTCGCTGGAAAGCAGCTTGCGTGCAGCTGATGCCGTCGTGGCTGTCGACTGGACCGGTGCATATGCTTACAAGTCGTTCCCTGTCAAAGACAAGCCCCTTGTCTACATGAACTTTCGTGTGTACAGTTCTGGAGTGCTGGACGAGGAAAGACGACGATGGTTCGACGACATGGAAAGGCTAGCCGTGGAAAACGCCTCTATCATTGTTGCCCTTTCCCAGCTCGACAAGAAGAACCTCGGGACAATCTCAGATTCTGCAGTTGGCAAAACCGAGCTTCTTTTGCCGCCCTTGAGAGGCGACATGCAGGAGCTCGCTCTCCAACAGGAAGAGCTCGACTCGTTTCTCCCCACGGAGGTCGCGGCTTCGGCCGGGACCCTTGGGCGGAGGCGCTTCCTCGTCACCTGCGTCGCGCGGATCTCGCCTGAGAAGAACGTGTTCCGGTTCCTGCGCTTCTTGGAGAAGGCGAAAGGCACACTGGAGGAGCTCGGTCTGATCCCGCTCTTGGCGGGCTCCAGTGCCGACGAGTCGTATGCCCAGGCGGTCAAGGCCGAATTGAGAAGGCTGGCGCCGAACGCGATCGTACTGGACAGCTTTCTGCCTCCGAAGTCGCTTGCGGCCGTCTTTGCTCGGACAGCCCTGAACTTCCACCCCTGCGCATATGATGCCTACGGCATGACGGTTGTTGAAGCGGCAGCCTGCGGGGCGCCCTCTGTCCTGGCAGGTGAGTCTGTAGGCGCCTGGGCACTTCTGGGGTCGTCCTCTCTGTGCGTTGATATGCCCTCGGATGAGAATGAGCTGTCGAGTGAGGCTGTGGCCGCCATAACAAGTTTGCTTCGAAGTCCAGAGCTCGAAGTGCTGGGTGCAGCGGCACGAAGGGAGGCTTTGGGATGGGATGAGCAGGCCTACGGCTGCAGGCTGGTTGAGCTGATCTCGCCCCTCGTAACATCATGAGCCCGTCAGGCGCCCCTGGAAGCCAAGCAGCGAGACCTGCCAAGCTTATCATCCGAAAAAAGGAGGCGCGAAAGCAGCGGCATGCAGCCGGCTGGGCCCACGAACGTTACTGCCCAAACCAGGGCCTCCTTTTGTAGGCAAACAGCCAATCAGAAGCCAGGCGTCCTTAGCCCTCCATCCAACCCTCAGCTCTAGGAGTCAGGAGCCCTAACCCCCCACCTTCGAAGCCTTTCAAGCCACAAGCCCTTGACGAGGCCGGACTTCTTCAAGTGGTGGGATGCGAACGGCTTTGTGTTCATGAGGCCATACAGCATCGCACAGCACTGGGTTGAGGGCTTAGGATTCATGGTTTTAGGGTGACCAGAGGGTGTTTGCCTACGACTGGTCCATCAGTTGGGCCGTGAGACCTTGTGTGAAGGTATTCGGGTTTAGAATAGCATGTGAGTCCTGTCCTAAGCGCAAACCCCTAGAGTACAGTTTCAGACCAACCTACATGGCTGAAGCGCGCAGTCTTGAATCCGACCTAGATGGATCCGTTCCAGATCAGGGTCCCCCCTAAAGAAGACCTGTCATGGGCCACCTTCTATTCCATCATTGAACTTAGAGCCATCCCCAGATGGATCTCAGCCAGGCAGTTGATGGAGGGCATCAGTGCGACCGGTGATGAATCTGGCTTGCCGCCGGCTGTAGCCTCAGCTCTCCTGCTCTGCCTGTTCCTGTCTGTTCCTGCGCCCCTGCATTGATGCTGCAGCATAATACTGCTATCTTTCTGAGTCCGTGACGGCGATTTCGGCTCTCCGCTATGTTGGAAAGGGGCATTTTGTTGCGTCTACAACATCCAGCAAGCAAGCCATGCATCAATGTTGCTTACGGAGACCTTATATCGTGCCCCTTAGGGACCCTTCTTTTGTGGCCTTTAACACAGACACCGAGGGGCGCTTAAGATGGGTGCGATCGGCTGCCGCTGCAACGACGGCGATGCCGATGCGACGACGGAGGCCACTGCAGAGGACGACGTGGTTCAGATGGTTCCAATGAGAGCCCTAGTTGTAGAGTAGGTAACCTTTACCCTTTTTTTGGTTCTGGGTTCCCTTATACAATGGCTATTCTAATATGGACACTGGACAACTAAGGAGCCGTCGGTGAGCTTAGCGAGGCAAAGGCACCGAAGATGGTGCAGAAGGACAAGCAGAAGCTGGAGGACGCTCGTAAGAAACTGGTCTCATGTGCCAAGGCTTTGCGGGCTCGGGTGGCCAAAGACCAGCTCGAGGTCTGGAAAAGGGCAGAAAGCGAGTTCGGTGTCCAAAAGATGATCTGGCAGAGCCTGAGCCTGCAGAGGGGTGCCAAGCACCAGGGCACTGCGGCAATGATCGAGTCCAAGCTGGAGTTTGCGGTGCAAACTCACACGAAAGACCTAGCGGCAGCTGTGGAGGCCCTGGACCTATGCTTGCAGCGGAACCAGGGCTTGGACTTGCTGGGCTTGGCCACGATCGAGTCCATCGAGGCCATCAAGAACTTCGCTCTCCACGCTGACTCACGCCAGGAGCTGGCCAAGATGCTAGACAAGGCGGCAGCAGAGCTGAGCTCCGGCGTCGTGTCCCGGCGCGGCGCGGACTTGATCAACCTGCTGGCCGACTGCGGAATTCAGGAGCCCAAGTTGGAGGCGGCAATCAAGGCGGCCTGGGTCGCTGCCTACGACGACGGCCCAGAGTGATTGGTAGTAATAGTAGTAATCATGGTAACAACAGCAGTAACAGTAACAATAGTACTAGTAGTAGTAATATAGTAATAATAGTAATAATAGTAATAATAGTAATAATAGTAATAATAGTAATAATAGTAATAATAGTAATAATAGTAATAATAGTAATAATAGTAATACTAGTAATAATAGTAATAATAGTAATAATAGTAATAATAGTAATAATAGTAATAATAGTAATAATAATAAATAATATAATAATAGTAATAAGTAATAATAGTATAATAGTAATATAGTAATAATCGTAATAATGTAATAATTGTAATAATTGTAAAATAGTAATAATAGTAAATATAATAATAGTAGTATAATAGTAATAATAGTAATATAAATGTCATAATAGTACTAATAGTCATCAATAAGTCATAATAAGTAATATAGTAATAATATAGTATAATAGTAATAATAATAACAATCGTAATAATCGTAATAATATATAGTAATAATAGTAATAATATAGTAAAATAGTAATAATAGTAAATAATAGTAATAATAGTAATAATGTAGTAATAATAGTAATAATGTACTAATAACAGTAATAGTAATAATCGTAATAATCGTAATAATCGTAATATATAATATCGTAATATAGTAATCATAGTAATAATAGTAAGACTAGTAATAGTAGTGATAATCGTAATAATGGTAATAGTCGTAATCATCGTAATAGTCGAAATAATCGTAATAATAGTAGCAATAGTAATAATAGTAATAGCAATAATAGTAATAATAGTAATAATAGTAATAATAGTAATAATAGTAATAATGGTAATAATAGTAATAATAGTAATAATAGTAATAATCGTAATAATAGTAATAATAGTAATAATAGTAATAATAGTAATAATAGTAATAATAGTAATAATAGTAATAATAGCAATAATAGCAATAATAGTAATAATAGTAATAATAGTAGTACGAGTAATAATAGTAATACCAGTAATAATAGTAATAACAGTGAGAGTTGCATCGCGGCCGTCCAAAGGCGGGTGATATCGGGTTGTGCTGGGCCGGGGGACACGTCTCCGGGGCACAGCAGATGTTTCACACTCTTCCTCCTCCTTGCTGAGCGCTTCGCGCTTGATCTCTTGAGCCCTTAAGCCCTAAACCCTCTTAAACCATTAAACCCTTAAACCCTGAAGCCCTTAAACCCTTAAACCCCTAAACCCTCAAACCCCTAAACCCTTAAACCCTTAAACCCTTAAACCCTCAAACCCTCAAACCCTTAAACCCTTAAACCCTTAAACCCTTAAACCCTTAAACCCTTAAACCCTTAAACCCTTAAACCCTTAAACCCTTAAACCCTTAAACCCTTAAACCCTTAAGCCCTTAAACCCTTAAACCCTTAAACCCTTAAACCCTTAAACCCTTAAACCCTTAAACCCTGAACCCCTTTTCAAGCCCTTTCGTGACCCCCTGCGATGCGTTTCGCGTGTCACGCTCAGCTCGGCTGGTGACGAAGCCGAAGGACCTTCGAAAGAAGTCGATCTTTGCCTGCTCGGCCTGATGGTATGGTGGTTTCTGAAATTGGGGGGGGGGGAGGGGTACCTTATTGGGGTCCTTAGTATAAGGGAATCCTACTCTTTGGGGTTTGTTTTAGGGCCTCCCTATTTTCGGAAACTCCTTAGATCGGCCTTATCTATGGGCTTCTGGAGCCCTGGCCAAGCCCCCCAAGCCTTTCAGGTGACAACTTCCATTTGGTTGGCGCAGTGCTCCCTGTCCGCCGGCATTGACATCGTAAGCCGCGCCCTCACGGCCACTTCAGAGGGTCGAGCCAGGAGCATGAAGCTTTTTTGGGGATTCGGGTTTAGGGGTTTGGGGTTTAGGGGTTTAGGGGTTTAGGGGTTTAGGGGTTTAGGGGTTTAGGGGTTTAGGGGTTTAGGGGTTTGGGGGTTTAGGGGTTTAGGGGTGTAGGGGTTTAGGAGTTTAGGGTTTAGGGTTACAAACTTAGCAGGAGCCCGCATAAGCACATTTGGGGTTTACGATAATGATGGAAGGATCCCCTGAATAATCAGGACCCCACTAAGTTACCCCTAATAATCGTAAACCCCCATTGAGGTGTTTGGATGTCGTCCCCAAGACTCCAGAAACCAGAAAGGACACATCGCAGCTGTCAATTTTCACATGTGAGGTGGTTACGGCTATGAACTGCCCGAGGCTCAGACACACAAGCTCCATTCTGTATGACGGGTTCCCTAAATTTAGGGTCCCCGTGCGAAGAATAACCCTTCAATTCGGGGCACCCCAAACGGAATCAGTTTTGGAGAGCTGCCCATGTCGAAATTCGGGATGTGGACGATGGTGTCTGTGCTCACATTGGATACTGAGAGCCTTGCTAGCTTGTAGGGCTTCTAGCCGAGTTCTACCACGTCTGTGCTCGAGGCTCCACGTGGAGCACACGTACGCCGTGTTCCTTTGGCGGCCGCTGTACAAGGAGCTCGGATTCGCCAAGGCTCGACCGCCCCCCCCCCCCCCCCCCTAACGGGTTGCTGTTAGGGACTTAATTTTAACGCTGCGCGACCCGCCTCGGCCCGGCCCAGCGCATCCGATGGTTCATGGTTTAGGGTTTAGGGTTGAGGGTTAGTTTAGGGTTGAGGGCTTCGGGTTTAGGGTTTTGGCTCAAGGTTTACGGTTTGGGGTTTAGGGTTTTGGGGTTTAGAATGCAAGGCTCAAGGTTCAAGGTTCAGGGTTTAGACGGTTCGGCTTGGCCCCTACAGGATTCGTAACATAATTCTCACACCAGCTGAGCCGGCGGGGGGGGGGGGGGGGGGGGAAGGGGCAGATCGTGGCGAAGGGTCATGGCTAAAAAGGGGGCCCGACGTGTGGCTTTGGGCTTGGGGGGCTCACAACCTATACACCTCCGGCGCGAGGCCTCGGCGGATTTCGAAGCAAATGATGGACTGTGCGCGTATATATGCTGGAAAACGAATGCAGTTTTCGTACTGTATGGACAAGATGTCCCATGAACCCCATCACGGGTATCCCAGCCTTGCGTTCAAGCGCCCATTCACGCTTTTGAAAGATTCCGGTTGCTTCGCTCGCGTCCTTCCACGTTCAGGTAGCATCAGCCATGTGCCAAGACATGCCATCGCCACCCAAGATACCATCAAGCTCCTCCGATTTAGGGTTTAGGGTTTAGGGTTTAGGGTCTAGGGTTTAGGGTTTAGGGTTTAGGGTTTAGGGTTTAGGGTTTAGGGTTTAGGGTTTAGGGTTTAGGGTTTAGGGTTTAGGGTTTAGGGTTTAGGGTTGTGTGAGTTGGGCTCGTGACGTGTCGCGTCTGGGCATCGGTTTGGCAGGCGTCGGGATCAACAGGCAGCCGGCTGCCCAGCAACACCTTACGCCGGAGATCGGTCGGTGGAGCAAAACCTTTGGGTACTGATTTCCTAGGGCTGCTTCTTGTTGATGAAGCCCTAAACCCTAAACCCTAGACCCTAGACCGTAGACCCTAGGCCCTACGCCCTAGGCCCTAGACCCTTAAACCCTTAACCCTCAGCCCTTAACCCTAAGCCCAGTCTTCTTTTGAGTTTCAGTTGTGTGGCAGCTCTCTAAATTTAAGTTCCCTTTTGGGGTCCTTGTCCTAAGGGTGCCGTACTATAAACAAGAAACCCTCGTTTAGAGAACTGCCCTTCTGCACGTAAGGACTGGTGAGCTACGAACATATTAGGGACGCGTCACTAGGTAGGGTTTCAGGATCAGTCAGGGCGTCTGGAAACCTTAACAGACAATTTGGGCTTGGGAGAGCTTCCGGGCGTTGATGGAGGTAAAACATACACCGTAAACCCTATAAACCCTATAAACCCTATAAACCCTATAAACCCTATAAACCCTGTAAACCCCATAAACCCTATAAACCCTGTAAACCCTGTAAACCCTCTAAACCCTGTAAACCCTGTAAGCCCTGTAAACCCTATAAACCCTATAAACCCTATAAACCCTATAAACCCTAAAACCCTCTAAACCCTATAAACCCTATTAACACTAAAAACCCTCTAAACCCTGTAAACCCTCTAAACCCTACAAGCCCCAAAATCATACACCCTCAGCCCTGGATGAAGCCCGGGCCTGGGCTTTCTCAGTGCTCAGGCGGGGCGGACGCCCACGAAGCCTGGCTGCGGGGCCGGGGACTCTCCCGTAAAGCTGCTGGAGGTTTGGTTCAGGGTTTCGGGTTTCGGGTTTCGGGTTTGGGGTTTAGGGTTTAGGGTTTTAGGGTTTTAGGGTTTTAGGGTTTTAGGGTTTTAGGGTTTTGGGGTTTAGGGTTTAGGGTTTAGGGTTTAGGGTTTAGGGTTTAGGGTTTAGGGTTTAGGTTTAGGTTTAGGGTTTAGGGTTTAGGGGGCGGAAGGGGTTTGGAGTTGGAAGGGTTTCTGCGAACGGTGCCCGAGAAAGGGTTCAGAGCTTGAGGTTTTTGGGACGGTGTTTAGGCCTAAACCCTAAACCCTAAACCCTAAACCCTAAACCCTAAACCCTAAACCCTAAACCCTAAACCCTAAACCCTAAACCCTAAACCCTAAACCCTAAACCCTAAATTTAAGAGCCTCCGGCTCAAGCCGCCGACCCCGCCAGAGCATAGTTGAAAGGTCGGCTCAAAGGATGCTTTCCTCATCGCATGGTTCGAAGAGCATCGCAGCCTGCTCGGCAGAATCCCAAAAGTTTTCAACGCTCGCGCCTCTGTGAAACGTGGGGGGGGTAGGGGGTAGCACCAGGACCCAAACAGTTTAGGAGCTGAAGCAGCTTGGGGCAATTTGTTGAACAAAGGCCAGACCCAGCACCCGTGTTTGGGTGGGGGGTAACAGGTGCGGGTGGCCTGGCCTCTTTGATGCCTATTAATCCTTCAGCTGTTGCAGATGCAGGGGTTTGGGAGCTGAGGTTGGTACTGCTCTCCCCTGGCCCGGTTTGTCTTCGACCTGGAGATTTGGGGCAAGCACTCTCTTCCCAAGGATCGGGTTTCGGGTTTAGGGTTTAGGGTTTAGGGTTTAGGGTTTAGGGTTTGGGGCTCGGGGAGTGCGACCGAAGGTTCAGGGTAGCTTTGGGAGGACTCTTCGTATCTGCCGGGTTTCTGAAGGGGTAGAAGGAGCGACCCCCCTACCCCTAGAAGGGACCCGGAATCTTATTCCCCTGTATAAGCCATATTAGAACCCCTTCAGTCAGTCGTCGCATGCAACCTCCAGTGTCAGAGCCATCACTGTTGGCATCTTGAGCATTGGCAGGAGATGCGATACGTTTCTGCCTGGGCCTGAAGGGAGCAGGGAGGACCATCCAGGATATGCAGAAACAATACATTGACATGCTGCATACTTGTGAAGTCTTGTAAGCAAGATTCTGATTCCGGAACACATCTCCATACACTTCCAGTCAGCGGCCCAGGAAAAGGCGGATGCCACCTCTCCCGAGCGAGCGCGATTGCGTGGGACTCTCGGTCTCCTGTGAGTGCAGGGGGAGGAGACAGGAGACCATGGAGACCTCCTAAGCCCTAAACAATCCTAAACCCTAAACCCTAAACCCTAAACCCTAAACCCTAATCCCAACACCCTGAACCCTAAACTCCTAAACCCTGTTTGGGACTTGGATCTGGGTCAGAAGGTCAGACCGAAGGTGCTTTGGGGTGGGTTTGGGTCCGGGGCTTTGTAGGGCTTGGTGACATGGCTTAAGTGCTGTGCGCAGTGAGATTCCAGCTATTTGGTACCTTGGTACTCTGCAAGGCCAGCACTTCTAAACAGGGCGTAGGGTTTCAGGCAAGCAGACAGTAGTGAAGTCCCACTTTCAGCAGCATCTTCCAGCAGAAGCGGAAAGATGCTGATATGTCTGCTGCCAGGCCACTACGCTGCTGCGGTCATCTCACCATGTCTTGCCGCACGTCTCCTGATCGTACCACAGAGACAGAATCATCTGCGACATGTAACTTCACCTCAGCACGCTGCTACCAGTGCAAAGGCATGCAAATTCGATGGTGGCATCGTCAGTCCGCCTTCCATTCGCAACAATGCGCTGTGCCAGGTAATGGTGGAGACCCCTGGGTTGCGCTACCTTCTTGAGAGAGGCCCGCATAGACCTGGTCGATGCTTGAATCGGGGCAGTTGTGCCAGGGCTGCAGATCCTTGAGGGGTACCTGAAGGTGCGAAGAACGGCAACCCACCACGAGGCCACTGCGGAGAAGGGCTGTGCGAGCCAAGCGCTCAGCCCGACGGATTCCGGCTCCGCTCTGTCTATTGTGCTCTCTCTCTCTCTCTCGGATTGTCTCGGTCTCTCCATATCTCTCTCTCTCTCTCTCTCTCGCGCACTCTTTCTGTTTCCTTTCAATTCCTTTCGTTTTTTTCGAAGTCTCTCTGTAGCCGAAAGAATGACTCTGCGAGTGCAGGTGTTTGCCACCCTTTCGCGGACCGCTCTGTGAGTTGGAGGCAGCTCTGCTGAGCTGGCTTAAAGCTAGTTGAGTGGGCATTTTTCCGAAAATAGGGGGTACCCCTTTTTTACCCCAAATAGAATAGAATCCCCTGAAAGGGACCCCAAAATTCATACCCCTATTTGCACCCCCAAGTCAGGCCATGTTAGGTGATGTTAGGTGGTTTGGGGCTTGGGGGTCAGGTTTCAGGACCCAACTCTTCCAAAACCCCTTAACTAAGGAATATTCCCTAGTTTATACTAAGGATCCTTATTCTGAATTAGGGTATATTCCTTAACTAAGGGGTTTTGGAAGATGTGGGGAGAGGCCATGATGCAGTCTGGGAGGGGTCTTGGGCTCAGGACCCACCGCGCGTGCAGCAGAAGCTTCGTGCTGTGATCCACTACATCACTGCAGAGACGGACTCCTGCTCAGAAATCCCTGATGAGTCGGGATGTTGAATGACCAGCTTGGCTGAGCAAGGGGGTGCAGCTTGGGGCGGATAGTGTTGAGGTTTTTGTGCGTTGGCTGTAGAGCGCAAGAGGCACCGGGCGTTCTGGCGCGCTGGCCATCCAATCTCAATCAAGTCGGCCTGCTTTTGATAGACAAGTTTTGCGTTCCACGCCGAACACCTGAGCCCCGAAGTTTTGGGAGAACTAGGTCGCCAGAAATACCGCTGCCCTATGTGACCCACTCTGAATCCGAAATCGTCAACTCGGCCATGGAGCCAAAGATCCCTTCCTCCAGCAGCGATTGTGAAACTATCTTGGTGGATTTGGAGGATGAGGAGTTTGGGGCCTGATGGGATTTGGCTGGAATTAGGGGGGGGGGGGGGTGGGGGGTGCAAGCGTAAGGCACCTGTCCATGAAGACCTTTGCCGGCCCCAGGACCGCGATCTGCAAGATCTGGAGCGTTCGCTCACGAGCTTGTGGCTCCACTACAACAAAGGCCCGGGCAGCTTGGAAGCTTGGCTTCTGGTTCTTTCTTTCTGCCCCCCCAACGTGGCTGCAGCCTTCGCCCATGGCCAGGGTATGACTATCCAGTTGTGGTGTTCCATGAGGGGCTCAGCACGAAGGCAGGGCCGCTGCTGGTTGAACCCCTCGATTTCAGACTTCGGCTGAAGGGTTCAGAGTTGATGAACTCAGGGTGCTCCCTGAACCCAAAGAACTGCGTGGAGGTGTAAGGCTTGCTGGAGCAAGCAAAACTCCTGGAAAGTATCCTGTGCAGTGACTGCGAACCCTATCATTGTGGGCATAGTATGAGGTTCCACCCGGCACGCTGCTTGATGAAACTCGGGGGACAGCTGTCGAAGTGACGGGTTTCTGCTTCAGTCCGTTTTTCTTCTGCACATGGGATCCCAATCACCGACCTCACCAGACTCCATAAACAAGCCCTTGGCACTTGAAAGGCCTCAGTTGCCCTTGAATAGCTTCATAGCCCCTCCTGTCTTGCGAGTGCGGCTTTAAGATTCGCTGAGAATCCCAAAGCCCGAAACACAAAACAAGATGTGAATATCTCAAAAAGAATCTCTTCAAATACAACATAGTACATGAAGCATATAGTCTTCTGCAACAAGAACACTGCGAATATGTAATAGACATGTAATAGCATATATATATATATACATATATATATATATATATTCTGAAGTGCAGAGGCCCGCCAGCGCATCATCGCAGCATCGGAGAATCGGGTTTGGCTCGCGCTGGTGCCGCGCCCGGCCCAAAGAACCCGATGCAGGGGGCTGCCGATAGTCAGGGGTCCCTTGTGGGGTTTAGGGTTTGGGGTTTGGGGTTTAGGGTTTAGGGCCATGCTTGAGTTGATCCTAGCTTTGGGTTAGGGTTTTGGGGTGTCGGGGTTCAGGGTTTAGGATGGGTCGTAACAGCACTTGGCCTACCTTTTCTGACGTCAGAGACATGTTTCGATGTGTGGATGTAGTACTGACGCTCGCGCGAAGTGCCTCGGCCTGGCCCGGTGCAGATGGTCGTAGGGGTCTTGCAGCATTCCCTAGGGGATGAACAGGGGGTCCACGGCGAGTGCTCAGGAGGCCCGAAGAGGTCGGTGGGTGGGATAAGGTGTTGCGCGTGCGGTCTTTTCAGGGGTCGTCAGGCTGTCCAGGCCTCGAAAGGCGTCCCTGCAAGGAAGGCGGGCTCATGTGGGGGTTCATAGAAGGGTGCTAGCGGATGCCGCCGCAAAGTGCGGAAGCTTGTGCTCAACCTTACACTTTTTAAAAGACCTGTCTGTATGCCTTTTGTATAGTCCCCGAAAAGTCCCACCCGAACCTTAAACCCCAAACCCATAGACCCCTAAACCCTAAACCCTTAAACCCTAAAGCCTTAAACCCTAAAGCCTTAAACCCACAGCTTTAAACAAACTCGAAGCCCTTACTAAACCCTTAAACGCTTAGCTTCTTAAACCCCTAAACCATTAAGCCCGTAAACCCTAGACCCTTTAACATAAACCCTAAGCCCTTACTTAAGCCCTTGAACCATGCAACCCCTCAAACCCCTTAAACCCGAACCCTTACTTAACCCATAAATCCTTTAAGCCTCTTAAACCCCTCTTAAACCCCTCTTAAACCCCTCTTAAACCCCTCTTAAACCCCTCTTAAACCCCTCTTAAACCCTTCTTAAACCCCTCTTAAACCCCTCTTAAACCCCTCTTAAACCCCTTAAGCCTCTAAACACCCAGAGCTGAGGCTTCAAGGAGGTGCCCCCCGAATGGGCCGAGGCAAGGGCTCCCCAGTTGCCACAGGGCTTCTGGAAACTTTAGGGTGTAGGGTGTAGGGTGTAGGGTTTAGGGTTTAGGGTTTAGGGTTTAGGGTTTAGGGTTTAGGGTTTAGGGTTTAGGGTTTAGGGTTTAGGGTTTAGGGTTTAGGGTTTAGGGTTTAGGGTTTAGGGTTTAGGCTCCTTTGAAACCTATAGAACCCTTGTTGGGGTCTAGTCTGGGGATGGGGTTTGGGGTTTCGGGTTTAGGGTTTAGGATGCTGAAACCATGGGACCCTCCAGCCCCCAAAGTCGCCACCCAGTCAATGCAGACACAGGGGCATCGACACAGAGCATGGGGATGCACAGGGCTATATTACCCTTGGGAAGTATTTGTTTTATTTTTGTAAGAGGATATTAAAAAGAACATTTTTACTAAGGTTCTAAGGGGAGTATAGAGGGAGGGCCGAAGAGCATTGAGGCAAAGCTTCGCAAGCCCCCAACCCCTCAGCTCGAGCGCACACTGCTTTTGTAACTCCACCTTGGGGGCATGTTTGAGAAGTTTTATGGGGGTTGCTCTGAAGATGAATGCAAGACCGCGGATTCAGGGATGCAGTGCTGTGCTAGCAGCTTCTAAAAGCTTGTGCGGGCTTTCGTGGGTTCCAGTCTGGCTATCAGGATGTCAGCAACACACCCCTAAGTCCCTACAGGACCAGGGCCCTCGGGGTCTGTGTTCATCTCGGTTGTTGAGGGGGGGTTGAGTATACAGAGTAAAAGGGGGTGAAGCTATCGAATGAGTCCCCCAGCACAGGTGTCGCGGCAGCGCGCATCGGAGTTTGCTGTCGGCTACAGGGCCATGACGCGAGCGACTCAGTCCGTCTAGCGTCCCGCTCAAGGCTGAAGGCCTTTCCAACCCTAAACCCTACGAACAATTCCGAGACCCGAAACCTGCAGGCGTTGGCGGTCCGGTCCCGTCTTTCTGGAGCCAGCACTGGCAGGCGCCCCCTGAAAGCGGCAGCGGGGGAAGGGGGAGCGGGAGAGGAGCCTCACTCACATTGGTTTCGAGGGTTTTGGGATTCAGGCTTGCGGAAGCCATTTCGTAGAAGCGTCTGCATGTTGATCTTTCGAGGTTGGCACTGCAAGATTTCTCAGGAGAATCTGCCGAAACCACAAAAGTCCAAAGACCGCAAGATGCCGCAAGACCCTCAAGTGGCCAACGCGCTAAAGCGCTGGTCAGAAATCCCTGCAGACCTATGGCCCTAGGGCCCTTAAAGCCCAAAAATCCAAAAGCTTCGCGATGGTCTGACCGTCTACGGGGCACCCAAAGGCCCGAAAGCCTGTGCAGCCCCAGATCTTACACGGCTGAGTTGAAAACCTGCATCGAAATCTACAACCCTGAAGCACCCTGAGCCTGTAAGCCCTCAACCCCAACCACACTAAGATACATACAACTCCGTCTAACCGTGCCTGCAAAAACATAGAAACCATCTTGTGTCAGAAGCTCTCGATACCCTCTGTCGCATCAACAAAACATGATCATACAAGTTAGTGTCTTGAAATACCACATCAAGCTCAACATATATGTTCTTCGTCACCTAAAGTTTCTTCAACGAAGGATTCGTCACCGAAAGATTAATCTTACAGAGCGCCCCACAGAGAAATTGTAGAAACCTTTGGACCACAGTTTAGTCCTTCCCCAGCAATTGCGTCTCCATACAGTGGAGTTGCAAGGTTGCTCAAACCAAGGTTGCTTAAACCCAATTTTCCGCCAACGCTTTGTCAGTCCAGCTTCACCATGACACCCCAGATCCATGCGCTCAGCCTAGACCCTGCGCGTTGCAAGAAAAATGCTCTCAATTGCTCTACCCAGGAATGCTCGAGTGCCCCCTCCAATGCCGGCACAGGCTTCGACTACGCCATGACGCTGGATACGGACTCCTACTTCCCAGGCCCTCTGGGCCTGCGCCTTACAACGGGCTCGGCGGCGGAGGAGGGGGAGCTTTAGGGGCTTGAGGGCCGTTCAGGACTTTGAGGTGCTTGTGGCTTAGGGCTGCTTTGGGTTTATGAGTTTATGATTTCAGGCCTGTTTCACCTCACTCACATTACCATGTGACCACAGCTAAGCTGGGATCGGAGCAAGCGGGGAGAGATAGGTTCGAGTCCCCTTGCCCCAGGATTTGTGTCCTATTCTTTCGGGGAATGTATTGCAGTCGGCGTTCCCCTGCGGAGGCCACGATAGACTCACTCCATGGGGGTGAGCAAAGCAGAGCAAAGCTTGGGGGCGTTGGGGGGATTTGGAAACAGGCTGGGAGTGGTTTGGGGCGGAAGGAAGGGCAGAAGATGGGCCCTTGTTTGCTCGAAAGATTTCATTTTGCCCTAAATCCAAAGACCTGCAGCTGGCCGTGCTCGATTCATAGAGCTTTGTGCAGGGCCGAACCTCAAGCAGCCTGAAATCTTACATCCCAAGACCTTCACAGGATTAGGGCCTCTCAACCTGTTTAAATCCCGGATCGTTTGTTCGCGGCCTTTCATGCTTGTTCCGCGTTCGGACCTGGCTTCCAGAGCTTGTGTTGTGTTGCTTGTGGTTGCCTATCTCACCAGCGAGGCCCCGAGTAACTATGCAAAAGGAAGACAGGCACCACTGAGGCAAGTGCGCGAGAAAGAGGGCTTGGCAGTCAGCATCAAAGCACAGAGACTTAACCAGCAGTCCTACTTGAGCCCTGACGGGAAGAAGCTGCTCAGCAGGATTACCGAAGCCGGCGAACGAGGAGATTGGCAGCAAGTGCAGAAGATGTTCGCAAGATATGGTGGGGATGAGATCCCCATCTTCAATGCCGTCATGCACATTGCTTTGAACTGCACTCAAGTGCAAGCAGCTGCCCGTGTCTACGAGAGGCTCTGCGATTCAAATTTGAAGAAAACATAGCTGCATTGAAGATTTACGCGCGCCTTGGCAAGACTGAAGCCGTGCGGCAGATCTGGGAGGAAGCAAAAGCATCGATAAGCATCGATGAGGTCATGACGGCAGCCCGAATTGAAGCGGCGGCCACCGAAGGAGATATCATAACAGCTGCAGAGGTTCTGGACGAGATGAAATCCAGCTTGCTTGAGATAGACACCTTGCACATAACATGCGCCATCCGAGCTTGCTGGGAGGCTCAGGGTCAGAGCCATCATGCTGCGCAATTCCTGTACGGGCTCCTGCTGAACCGTGGCCTAAGGCCGAACATCATCACTTTAACTTGCTTGATGGGGGCCTACGCGAGTGCACCACTCAAGGACATCCTCGCTGTGCGTAGTGAGATGGCTGCACATGGCATCTTGCCAAACAAAGTCTTCGCAGAAACTTACCTGGTCAGTGTGCTGGTGCTTGTAAAGGATGAGGTCATCAATTTGCGAGATGTCCGGCAACTCGCGGAGTATTTGCGACGACGGCCCGCAGAACGCCTGAGGGCGGCAAGGGCTGGAATCGATGGCTTCAAGGCCGAAGCCGTGGAGCTGTCCGGGCTCAGTCTTCGTGTGGACAATGCCTTGCAGCTGCTGGAGGATGATGCTTAACCTGTGCGTATCTTGAGACTTGAGATGTTCTCATACTGATGAGTCTGCACCGCGACTGATGCCTTCGTGGAAGCGAAATGCCTTATGGGATCGTAAGTCGCCTCGCTGGCCCTCACCCCCCCCCCCCCCCCCCAAATAGCTTCAGCCTACGGCCCGCGGAATGCACGTGCAGGTCCTCAGGTGTCTTGGTTGGTGCCAAAACATTTGCATTCATCGAGGACAAACAGAATGTCTCTACTTTCTACCAAGTCGCAAAGCCCCGTGCGCTCTCCCCAAACTGCATGGTTTAGGGGCCGGTGGGCCAGGCATCAACCCCGAAATTCGTGTGGCCCTTGCATGTCATTCTTGGCTCATGTCACCTACGCCATGTACTTAAGGACATTTGGAGCCCTCGAAGTTAAAGTATGAGCCCGGTGCAGACCGTTGCGCAACGTAATGGGAGGTCACTCCACATGCTGGTCTACTTGGCCCCTTCTTGAGGGCCACGAGGGCCATGAGGCCCTTTTGGCTACGTATCCCTGTTACGAAAACTAGCTATCAAGGGGACCCTAGCGTCGAATCTAGCCCATGCCCAGCACACCAAAGCAAGCGCTGCCTGTGAGGGCACCCGTTTTGCCTAAACTTTGTGGGAACCCGAGCATGAATCTAGACCACTCCTGGGGTTTAGAGTTCCTAGCAGTGGTCCGAGGTGAGGATCCCTTTGAAGCCCTCCGTGCCCAGGGCCGCACGCCCGGGGGGCCGAGCCAGGGGGGAGGGGGGAGGCTTGCAGTGGGTGTTCTGTCCATATTCTGTGAGGGCTACTAATCAGCAAGCTTAATTCTCATACTTTCATGTCATAAGGGTCGTTCAAATATGGCCACATTGTTCTCGCGAGGCTTGACAGCAATGTTCCCGCACTTGGGCAGGGAGTCGGCCAGTGTAAGGCACCAAGCTTCTGAGTTGGGTTTTGGACCCTTTGGTCCCTGCACTTACTCAGTCTTGCGGCCGTGTGAAGCAACAAAACAGCACTGCAAGGTCGTGGTGAACTTCATGCACTACTTCCTGCTCTACTGCAGGTTGCACAAGATGGACCCCCGCCGCACGAGGAGAAAGCTTCCGGGCGCACCCGTAAACCACAACTGGCAATGTCGAATCTTCAAGCTTATGTGCAGTTCCGACACGTGACCGGAAGCGGCTTGAACGAGACAGAGAGCTCACCCACTTTTGACAGGATGCTGGCAGCCTTGGTTGAGAAGAATTACAAGTGGTACCAGCAGCCAGCTGAGTGTGGATTTGCAAAGGGCAGTTGGGAACTTGCGGGCGAGATGCCACGCAGTCTCACAGGGGCGGGCCCCTAATGATGAGGCAGTGCCTGATGCTGGACATCGAGATTCTTCGGTTGGATTGGTTCCGTGGGAGCGTGTACCAGGCCCCACGTTCCGACACTGCATGCTGTCGGGAGAGATCTGCCATCCTGCTGTGTGAAGGACTTTTTTCGCTACATGGACTCGGTAGGCGGGCGGCCTTCTCACGTTTTTTTTTGCCAGAGGAGACAAGAGGGTTAAGGCGTTGGTTGCGGGGTTGCCTTGGCAAGGTGGCTTTTGGATACACCGCTGGGGGAACAATCCCGCCACTGGGACAGCAAGAGCGTCGCGGCTTGGAACACCGGTGCCATGGAAGGGCGCCTAAATCATGCTTGCAGGTGCGAACCTTCGCCGTAACTCTGCTCCTGGAGGATAAGGAGTGGTGCCTGCACAGAACAAGAGAGCAGCATTGCCCGAAGCATTCTGAGGTTTTTGGATTTCATACGTGCTGTCGAGTTAAGAGCTGGGGAGGACGTTCGCACAGCCTTCCTGCCGTATGCCCACCAGGCGCGTCCTGTGACACTCTGCGAATCGGAAGCGTACAGCAGCAGGGCAGCTGGTAGTGGCGATAGTGGATCCTGTAGCAAGCTGGTCCGGATGAGGCACAGTACCGTAGGATATAGTAATTAGTAGGAACGCCATCACTCGTCCCAAGAATCAGATGTGCCAGCTTCTGGCTGGAATGAACTGAGAAGGGGCAGATGCGCCTGTTGTCATGAAGGCCATGAAAATGCCACTCCTTGATAGGACTTCTGCTCCTGCGGTGCGGGTCGTGCCTGCCAGTGGAGCTCCGAGAAGGAGGAGCGTAGATGTGGTGGCTTACATATGCAGCTTATGGAGCATAGATCCGTGCCAGATGTAGGTAGACGTAGATACGTGCTCGCTGTATGCTCAGTTCAGGAGTACACTTGCGACCAGACGCCTGGATCCTGGCCTTGGGTCAGTTCAGTCAGCTGAACCCATCGTTCCACCATGTACCACGGCCTTTCGCACACAAACGCCAAGGTTGGAGCCTCCGGTGGTTGAGATGGAGGAGCTCGCAGAAGGATTGCTTGACTTGCAGCGCGGCGCCCAGACGCGCAACTGCCATTATGCAGAGGTGGGATGTGGTGGAACGATGTGGGGTAGGTTACCATGTCCTGGCTTCTCCAGGCACTCTCCAGCTTAGGAAAAGATGAGGGGCCTAGGAGGATAAGGGGGACCCTTAATAAACGGGAACCCTTCTTAACACTCTTCTGGCTCTCTGGGCCTTATTCAGAGGGTCTCTATGCCCGAGGGTCCCCCTAATCCTATCCCGTAGCTCCAGCAGCGCTCAAGCCCGCAACCCCAAATCCGTGCTGCTAAAGCCAGCAAGGCCTTGGCGTGGATCCGCGCGCCAGCTCAGTCGACAATCCCAGCAGCTGGACGTGATTCGCTTTGCTTCTGGGCAAGCTTGAGGTGCGCGCAAGTAGCATGTCAAATGACCTGGCTTTGAGGGACCAGGGCTAGGATGCTCAGTGCGAGTAATCTCGGCAGAGTCTCGGCAGTTTTGCAAGACCCATCATGTGCTACGAAGTGAGATGGTGAGCCTTGGCCGGAGTTGAGCTCGATGTTGACTCTGACCCTTCTGGCAGATGCTGCGACTGGCGATCTGCCCGCTGGCACCGCCTGCTAATGATCCCCGCGACCTTGGCCGTGGTTCAAAAAAGATTGCCGAAGGGCAGGTATAGTTCACGCAGCGCCTCCGTTGAACCTGGTAAGATACCCTAAACTTTGAATATGGAAACGTATAGAAGAGGCCACAATGATGGCAGTCGGTAAGCTGGGAGATTGGGAGGTTCTGCAGAGCTGCCGTCATCGCACATCACTGAGTTGCGTGGTCTGCGCCTACGCAGGAACGCAAAATGGCCGACCTCTCTGTTCTGGCGTTCACGTTAGTGGTCGGGGCCATCCACAGGCATCTTCCGAAGTTCATGAAGCCCAACTCTTGCCCTAGACTCTTGCTTAGGGTTCAGGGTTCAGGGTTTAGGGTTCCCCAAACACCTGAAGCCCGTGAAACAGGTCGCCCGTCCTGGCAACGTACCGCCAGCATCCAGGGCTGCAGCAGCGGCTCAGGGATCAATGTGCGCCTGGCAGTGTTCCATCATGTTTTGGGATTCGGCCCTCAATCCTAAACCCTAAACCCCAGACCCTCGACCCTAAACCCGAAACCCTAAACGCTCATCAAGCAGCCCTACACTTGTGAGGGCTCCACGTGCAGGGTCGAATATGGTTGCAGTTTGCTTTGCCAGGCTGGTGGAAGCTTCCTCAATGAATGCATGCAGTCAATCACGGCACGTAGCACTCCACCCTTTACCCCGAACCACCTTGAATCAAGCCAACTAAGCCCCGAACCCTAAAACCCTAAACCCCAGACCCCCAACTCAACCCTGAACCCACCTCTTCCGGGAGAAGTCGCAGGTAGAGTCGACCTTAGCTTCGGCCTACATCGGGGCTGGGCCATCGAGGCATTTCGGCCTGCCCCAAAGCTGCGTTTCGGAGCATGCTTAGGGGCCCTTTGGCCTTCTTCCGGCAGTGCTCTTGACCACGGGGGTTTGAGGAGCTCGAGCTCTTGCGGGCCCGAAGCCCTGAATCCTGAATCCGAAACCCCTACGTGAACCCTAAACCCTAAAACCCTAACCCAAAAAAGGCTTCCGAAGGGCCAAGACCGGTCCAAGGGCTCAGCTTCCTCTAAGGGGCACCAGAGAACGCTTGAGCAAACACAAGAGGCTCCCAAAAGGCTACGCCAAGGCCGCGAAAGCACCAGTAGCTGTTCCAAAGAAGCACGAAAAGGCAAAGCCACTTCAAAGGACCATGGCCCCTCCCACAGAGAGAACGAGGCCCAAACACCTTTCTCCGGGCTTGAAAAGGGCCGCAATCCGGCTTTCAGGAAATTTGTGCGCGTGCACAACCCGAACAAACCCTGACTGTTGTACAAGCCTAGAGCCCTAGAACCCTAGAAGCCAAAACCCTAGAAGCCAAAAACCCTAGAACCCTAAAACCTTAGAACCCTAGAACCCTAGAACCCTAAAGCCCTAAAACCCTAAAACCCTAAAACCCTAAAACCCTGAAACCCTAAAACCCTAAACCCTTAACCCTTAACCCAAACCTTCTCAAATGGGGCTGAAGACATGAAGACACCCTCCACCTCTGGAGGGCGCCGTGGGCAGTGACTTCAAGATCGACGCTTCCTACATCTCCCCAAATGCCGCAGTCTTGTGATGCAGGGTTTAGGGTTTAGGGTTTAGGGTTTAGGGTTTAGGGATGTTTCGGGTTTGGGTGGAAGTTCAGAGTTGCGCTCCAGAGTTTACGCGGCTGCGAGTTTGCTGGCGGCCAAAGGTCAGCATCGCCAACAGCATCGAGCATGCGACCAGGCTAGCGCAGCACCGGGAAACGCGAAATTCAAGCACTGGGCTGGCTTGCGAGCAAACTTGCTGTTTCCGCTGCCGCCACAGAGAGCTTCCCGATCCCCGCCCGCAGGAAGTATGGGGTCAGGATATTGATCTCCCAAACGGCCCAAAGCTCAGACTGCTCTCAGACTTTGGAAGCTGCAAGCCGCTGATCCTGTCTTGTCTTACCTGTTGGTTAGTAGGGGGAATGAGGGAATGAGGTACACTATATCCCCCTAGATATACCCTTGAAGGAATTACATAGAGTACCTTATTCCCTCATTCCCTACAAACCAGTAAGTTCTTTGAAGCTCAGCGACTACTCATGGCTACTCCGAGGTGGCACAGTGCTGCACAAAGGAGATGTCCTGCAAGATGCGCTTGATTGACAAGGCTGCGTACTGCGGAGTATTTTGGGTCACAGCAATATGTCGGGTTTTGGGTTTAGGGTTAGGGTCTAGGGCTTAGGGTTTAGGGCCGCCTAGGGTTTAAGGTTTATTTCCGAAAATAGGGGGTGCCCTTTTTGGGGGTCCCTTTAAGGGGTATCTATTCTATTTACGGTATAAAAGGTGTACTCCCCCCTCCTCCCCCCCCTCCCCCCGTTTTGGTAAACCCCATCCATGTAGGGGTGCAGCTGGCAGCATGTCCTGCACGGTAGGCTTGCAACGGTGATGTTAAGGGCAAAGTGAGTCGGATCAATCGATTGTGGACGGAGGTCACGATCAAAGGGTCGCTCGTGCCCTTGGAGCTGTACTGCCTGGATTTGGACTTCAAGCGGCTTCAGGCGAGTCCTCAAATTCAGGGCCACACCAGACCTCTTCAGAGCCTCTGTCCACTAGCTTTGTCCAGCTTGCAGGCATGCCCGGTGTTGTGTTGAGCTTTGCTGAGGGTGTATCGTGACCTCTGTTTTTTTGGTAGGAGTCTGTGACTCTTTAAAATAGAAAGTGCACCTTGGCATAGCTTACATTATCATACCACGTGGTTTACAAGGTCATGTTATTTCGGCTCCTAACCTGCCATCCGTGAGGTGGAGGACAGGCCGGAGTTGCCGATCACCTGGAACTCCCGCTACCGGTTCAAGCCGGGAACTCATCCTCGACGCACCGAAGCTGCGCAGCAAAGACGTCACTAAACCCCTAAGCCGTAAGCCCTAAGCCCTAAGCCCTAAACCCTAAACCCAAAACCCTAAACCCTAGCCCCTAAGCCCCTAAGCCCCTAAGCCCCCTGATTGTTCCAGTTGCGCGTTTGTGTGCCTGACAGCGGTGTGTGGTCGCGTCTGAGCCTCCCGACCCCCACGATCCGTTTTATGTCAGGTCGAGGCACGCCATGGAGGCTTGGCATGGTTCCCAGGAGTCGGCTTACATGGCGGAGACAGGGTTTCGCTGAATGAATATGGGGGTTTACGAACATAAGGGACCCTTATAAGGGGCCCCCCCTCTAGTAGGATCCCCTTATGATAAGGACCCCAATAAGGTACCCCTAATTTCAGAAACCCCAAGATGGCTTCAAGTGATTCTCAGACACACCATGACGCATTGTCTGACAGCGACCATTTTCGCCCCTGCCCTGTGTCAGATGCGAAAGAACCATCTCTGGAATGACGAGTTTTCCAAGGCCCAGCCGCCTTCGTGCACGTGCGCTCTTTGTCTGTTGTCTTGCAGCACTTCGCTCGCCTGCTTTGTGGCTGCAGGCTCATATCCTGAAGAAGGAGCTCGCTGGCACGGATGTCACGCCTATTGAGTTCAGAAGATGCCGATGAGATGTGAGACGTTGGCTTCCCTTCTAGCTGTGAGTGCGTCTTCCTCCGTGTGCAAGAGTAGGATGGGATGAACCCTGTCAAACATTTTGCACCCTAAACCCCAAAATCCTAAACCGCGAAACCCCGAAACCTCCAAACCTGGCGCAGGATCCTCACTTTCAGGAGATGCGAACGCCCTACACGGATGTGTTCCTCCAGAACTTCAACATGGGGTGCCCTTCATTGCCATGAGCTTTGGGCTAGAGGGCCCTTGTAATTAGAAGGCACCCGAAGTACCCTGAACCTACATGGTTTAGGGTTTAGGGTTTATAGAAATTGTATAGGGTTTGGGCCCCCACAACGTTTTGAACGAAACGTTTTGACCGAAACGTTTTGTATTTTGGAACCTAGTTAGTACTTTTTTGTGAAGGGTCTTCTAGGGTAAGGGGGACACGCGGCCCATTTTCTGGCAGACGCTGGAATTCTCAATTTTCTGGCAAAGCGTTGGAATCCGGGCCTTTGCCTCGTTTCTGCGTGCCTGCCCAAGTTTTCTAGCAGAGCGCTGCAATTCTCCAGCCATGGACCATGTGTGAAAGAACGCACAGCTCTCTTTATAAAATACACAATACACATACTTATAAAGAACAGGCCTTTTGGGGTTGGGTCCCAAGGGGTCTGGCAGTCTGGGGCGCCCCAGGGGTTGAAGTAGATTGAGCAATTGGCCGCCCGGAGGCGTTTTGAAATTGCTTTGCTTACACTCGGCTTGTCAGGTGTTTTGACAAATAGCTTGGGAACTTCAGAATGGCACCGCATACAATTTCGGTTTATTTTGTTTTGAGGGTTTAGGGTTTCAGGTTTAGGGTTAGGGTTTAGGGTTTATGAGCTGCTTCCAGCACGGCCTGATCCAGGTACCAGAACTATGCTCAAGGAGAATGGCAGGTTGCAAGAAACCTCTTGTTGAAGACCCACACCATGCTCCGTGAGAAGGAGAGTTGGGGTTTAGGGGTGTACTGGTTCAAGCGTTGTTGGGACTACGGGCGTTTAGGGCTTGTATCTAGAGATATTTGGGAGGCGGTGGGATCGAGGTACTTGGTATATGGCGCGTCAAGCGGACTACCCCCCCCCCCCTCACGGGCTCGGTTGGCACCATGCCGGCTTTTCGCAGGATGGGCCGAGTGAGGCCCTCCTACGCTTCATGGAGAAGCCGTATCAGTTCAAGGCAGCAGCATCGTGGAAGTGTGTTGCATTTTCCTTGGCCTCAGGGCTTGATGGCTTGTGGGCTCTGCGTTCGCTGCTGGACATAATTTACCCTGACTCATCACCCTCGCCACCGGCAACACCTGCCATCGCCAGCACCACTAACATCTGAGCTTAAGAGTGAATGACTCTTACGCGGAAGGATGTTGTAAGGCCTCGGAGTGACACTCCCCTTGCTCTTATTTCCGCGTGGACCCCCGTCAGGCCCCAGAAGGCTGGCGAGGCACGTCGCATCATCACGTTGAAAGGTTGATCCAGGTTGGCCTTTCGGGAGGAGAAGCTTTTGACCCTAACTGAATACAATGTGCTTGGCAAGCGCTTGGGTGCTGATGTAGCTGCTCAGCGGCTGGACAGGACATAAACAGTACAGGCACGTGTCTAGGGGCGTCGCTTGATGGCCCCTAAAGTTCTGCGTGCTGTCTGCACCGAGTGTTTCAGGGGCCTGGTTGGGTTGGACGCATCGTTGCATGACCAACACTCAGGTGTCCATGCGCTGGAAGATCTATGAGGAGCCATATGTTTGGGCGGGGGCTTGTCGCCTCCAGATGGCGGCCAATACCACTGTGAGGTGTGAGCCTTTGAAACCGAAACTTCACAACCAACCTTGCCATCATAGCCCCGGGCAATTTTCCGCACCTCACGCTAGCAGTTGAGCAAATGTTCAGCAATACCGTCCGGGCCCTGCAAAACGGACCTCCAACGAGTTGGAGCATAGTGATAAAGGTCCGGGGTTTCAGCTTAGGGTTGGGGGTTGGGGGTTGGGGATGCCATGATAAGCATGGGAGTTGAACACATTTTGCAGGTCTCTGGCTGTATGTTTGGAGTGGAGTTGCACTCCGAACCACCTCATGAAAATCAGAGGTCTTGTATCATCAGTTCTCACCAAGCCATCATAGATAAAGTCACAGGCCAGCAAGGGCAGCACTGTGTGATGCAAACGACCGTCGCGGTCGAACACCTAAGGAACTAATGCGCCAATACGCTGGTCAAGTAATCTCGTAGCTGGCCAGCGACGATGCTTTCCAGATGACGAGTTATGGTCAATCTGTCTTATTTGTTTCACCAGGTCAATTCAGTCGAATGCACCTTAGCAAAAGCAACATGGATGAGAGTGCACGATGGACAGGCCAGGGTAGACCGATTCGATCTAATGGGACACGAAACTAGTCTAGACCAAAAACTCTTGGGATATTAATGCAGCATATGTAGACCCTGAATGGCCGGACACTAAGCAAATTCGGATCCCCAATGAAGGGATATTGAACAAGTTAGATCTTGTACAATGGGACACTATCTCAGCATCAGACCCCAACAAGCACCCAATCTGTTTCAATTTAACATTAGAAAGTCAAATCCTGAAGTCGGAATAATTGCGATTGGAGTGTGGTTGCATAATCCGTCAATACATTTAAGTTCTTTCATGTTACCTGCCAGGAGTACAGTTCTACTTGCATTAATTGCACGACACTAACCCCATATGCTTTAATACTGCACGTGAAAGTCTTTTTCTTGCATAAACTACGAGCTTGCCTATGCAAAATCCTCACTTGGGCAGTGGCGGCTTAGCTCGGACGTACCGATATGCCTCTGGGGCATCATTCGAGCTTGTACTGGCAAATCTTCTCGCACGGGAGCAATTGCCCAACATCCGCGACGGTATAGCCCGCACGTGGAAGCTCAGCTGCAGCAGCTTTCTCCTACGCTTATCGTTTCTACCACGAACGGGACGAAAGTCTTGGGCTTTTAAGGGGAGCACTGCGAGGATTTGATTGCAAAAATGAGATATCATAGTGCAAAAGATATGACAAAATCTAAGATTTTCAGCATGCCTTTATTTATTTAAGGAATTTCGTCTAGATAAACATTATTCTAGCGTATATACATCTAGATTACGACCACATGGGGGGACTATAAAGCAGCCCGCCCCACTAGTCCTATTTGCCCCACTTGTCCGGTCCCGCTTGCCCCACTTCTCCCCCCCCCCCCCTCTTCGCCCCCCTCCCCCCACCCCCCTGCCACACTACTCCAAACCACGAAAAGGTGGCTAGGCCCTCTAGAAGTGGAGCAAACAGTGCTACATGGTAGGTGAACTGATTTCGAGCCGAAAAGCGGTATTTGGTTTTGGGCCGGTTTGGGGGAAAACAAATTCCCGATCTTGAGCCCAAAAGTGAGGTTTGCTTTGATGGGTTTTGGGTTGGTTTTGGAGAGAAAGCAACCTCTCGATCTGGCCAGCGTTTATAATGTAATTGTATGGGTCTTTGTAGTGCGGAGGTTCCTGAGTACCGACGTTTGTTGCAGCTCAAGTACCGAAGGGCTTCATGTTACAGGCACATAAGCGTCAAGTGCCTTGGCCATATACACCATCCCAGTACATGTCATACGGTCATGTAAATCCTCACGCGCCTTGGCCATATAAGATTTGGTCGTCCCTCATTACAGGCATATAGCCATCAAGTGCCTTGGCCCTTTAAACAAGAAGCGGGACGAGTAAGAAGGCGAGGAGGGCGGGGGGGGTAGCGGAAGCCAGGGACGGCCGGGGATAAGGGGGACAATGGCAGGAAGTGGGGCAAGGGGAAGGGAGATGGGGCAAGTGGGGCAGGTTGGGCAAGGTGGGGCAAGCGGGGCAAGTGGAGCAAAGCAAGGACAGTTGGGCAAGTGGGGGGTGGGGGGAGGGGCAAGTGGGACAAGTGGGATAAACGGGACAAGTGGGACAAGTGGGACAAAAAACTATAAGAGTGATTATTGTAATATTCTATTCATTAGATTTCATGAGGAAATAGGATTTATTTTGGTATTTCTTCTAATGGAATTCGTGAATGCATAGGGTTTATATTGGTAATCTTTCATAAGATTTATTATAGTGTCATTCAATAGGTCTCATGAGGAAAAAGGATATGTTGAAAAAAATGTTTTTGTATCTTTTTCGTGAGGAAGGAGAATGTATTTCAATATCTCCCCTTAATAGGTCCTATGAGGAAATAGGATTTATTTGGATGATTTATTATGGGATTTTTTGATATTTTATCTAGGAGATTTCGGTATTTTGTTATAATATTTGTTTTAAAATATTTCATCTAATGGATCTGATGAGAATGTCAGATTTATTTTAGTGTCTTTCTCTCGGATTTATTTTAGTGTCTTATTTATAAATCTTATGAGGAAATAGGATTGGTTTTATTAATTTAAGAAATATTTTGACGCCCATGATGAAATATTAAAAATTCCTATGGTGGAATATTCAAATACTCTTTCCTTTTCATGAAATTTATTGGTTGAATGGGATATTAAAACAAATTTTATGGTAAGATACTAAAATATATCTTACTTCCTCATGAAATTTATTAGATGGGATCTCATACTATATCCTATGGTGGTTCATTAAAATAAATTCTACTTCTTCATGAGATTTTTATTTCTAGAGATAACCTATGGTGGAACACTAAAAATAAATCTTATTTCTGTATGAACACCATAGGATTTATTCTAATATCCTATCTAATAGATCTCATGAGAAAATAAGATTTATTTCGGCATCCCATCGCAAGATGGCTTTTAGTGCCTCACCCAAGATAGATCTCACGACGAAATAGGATATATTTTAATATCCCATATACTAGGTCTCATA